AATACTGAGAATAAAGAGGAGAGAGGTTTGAGATAAAATCCAGTGGCTATTTAAACTGTCCAGTAGATGGAAATGGAAGGCAGGAAGAGAAAATGGCTGCCATTTTCAGTCTGAGAGACTGTCTTAGTAATTATGTCAATATTAGGGAAAAAAAAGGAACATTTATGTAGAAAATAAATTAGATATAAAAACAGAGAAGGAGTATAATAGTTTCAATTTTGGTTGTCTTAAATTGGAAGTTAAATGAGAAAATGCATGTAAAGTGACTGTTTTAGATGCATGCATTAAGTAACATATGTATTATTATTATAGGTAATGAAAACTTATTATGTACCAAATAATGACTGTGTTTATATAAATTATTTGATTTAATCCTTGTAGCATATGGAAAAATTAGACACTAATATCCTCATTTTACAGATGCAGAAACTGAAGCTTATGTAATTTCTTATTCAAGATGATCTATTTACTAACTTATAGTGCTCAGACTCAAACCAAGCTGTCTGTCTGCAAAACGTTTGTTATCACTATCAATATCATCATCATTATTATTATAATATCTATTATATATGTAAGGGTATTGTCAATGAGGTCCATTAGGAAGTTTGATATGTGAATCAGAACTTTGAAAAAATAAAAGCCTCAATTGCTTACAGAGATTTAGAAGTCATCAACAATTAAATGATAGCTGAAGCTGGAGGAGTAGACGAGGTCATTTAGAGAGAGCGTGTAGGCTCAGAAAGTGAAGAAAAGAGGAAAATGCCAATATTAAATGATGGGCAGAGTGAAAAAGATGATAAAGGAAAAGAAAAAGAGATGTCATCAGAGGCAAAAAGGAGTAAGAGAAGGCAAGGGAGAATACAGCTTCAAGAGTATCTATAGTTTTAATTATGACTGAGATCAAGCAAGACAACCAAGAGCATATTTAATATATTTGGCCATTGAAAGGTCGCTTTGAATGTGCAAAAATAGATTCATTGGAGAGACAAAAAACACATTATTTTGAGAAGCTTAAAGTCAAAGATAAGATGATAAATATATTTTTTCCTTTGTTAGAAGGAAAAGCCAATAGCACAGGAGATGGGAAGGTAAAGGAAGAAAAGAGGTTATAATTGTTGGAGAAATAGCCAGAGAAGAAATATGTGGAGTTTAGAACACAGGGGAATACTCGTATTTTAGCTAAGACAACTGTTGCCCTGAAAGGAAAGGGTGGATTACTTCAGGTTTGTAGGGATGTGTCTGGAGAGGTGAGTAAATCTGATTTTACTGAAACAACGAAACCTGTAAGGCAGAAATAAGAAGGAGATTGAGATAAGCCTTAGGTAGGCTTTAAATACTCAACTAGGGAATTTGAAGTTTATTCAGCTGGATGGAGGAAACCATTTCCTTTGGAAGATTTATCGGTTAGCAGAGTAGAAGATATATTAGACTCTAGGGTGTAGAAATAAGTTAGAAAGGTATTGAAATAATACAAGCAGAATTGAATGAAGTACTAGACTAACAACAATGACAGTGGCAATGAAAAGAAAGGTCAGAGATTTAAAAGATGAGTCAAAAGATGAACTTGATGATTGATCAACTTGAGAAAACAAGGAAGATGAAGTCAAAGTTGATTTTATGTGTTTAGTCACTGTGTTGAGGGAAAATGGCAGTAGTATTTGCAGGAAAGCGGAAGTCAAAAATCATTTTTGGAGTAAAATTAAGAGGAAAATTAAATTCCAAACATGTTGATTTTGAGGCAGAAACAAAATATTTGATTGTAAATTTTTAGCAAAAAAATTGAAAATGTAGGTTTCAAGTTAAGAATAGGGGTCAGATGTCAGATAACTTTTGAGACAGTCTAGATATAGGTGGTAATTGAGGCAAAATGACATCCCTAAGGAATAGTATATCAGTAAAGAAGGAGAAGGCAGAAAACAAACCAGGAGGAATATTAAGATGTTGCAGGTATTTTCACTGATGCCTCTTAGCCTCTGCTCCACTGGAATCCAAACTATGGAAAGATAGCTTGTCTGTCTCTTTTCTTTGGGTACCACAAGACTCTGCCTTACATTTTCCCAAATCCTAATTTTGTGGTCCATTCCACTTATTGCTCCTCCTGTGGATTCAGACTGAGCCCAGTTCCAGAGTGTGTTTCTAAAAATAGAATCTGCACTCCTATTCAGTGGGACAATATGTCTGAGCTTGGGAGCCAGACTACCTGGGACTGAATCTGGATTCAGGAATTTACTAGCTTCATGATCCTGAAAGTTATTTATTTTTTTTAAATACTCACTGGGCCTCAGAATTCATATCTAAAAATTGAGGATATTAGTAGTGTCTACCTCTTGAGACTCTTCTGAGAATTAAATAAGTTAATAAATAATAAATACTTAAAGGTGCCCGGAACATATTGAGTGCCATGTAAGGTAAGTTTTTAAATTGTTGCTGTTATTATCACTATTAGCTATTAGTAGTAGTAGTAGTATGTTCTTTTACCCCGCATAGAAGGTCCTAGACACAATAGTTAGGCTCCTGTATCTCTCACCAAATATCCTACACTGCAAATCTAATGCAATAATCTGAGTGTTAAAGGTAAATTCATGACAACCCTATAGTCACCAATGGCACCAGACTCAAACTGACTCTGCTCCATGTTGGCCCTGCTAGCAGACCTGGCATATGCCCTGATGATCCTCCTTAAATTTGATTCTACCTGGATCTTGAATCCTCTTTTTTGTTATGAAAACTCATCCCTAAACTTAAAAAAATTGTTTGGGGCCCTTTCTACAAGGGTTAGTTCTTTCCAGGTTATTTTCAACGACAACATCTAAGAACCTTAACCTCAGCCAATTTTAGGAGCTAAGCCATTTATGAACATGTTTGGGATTGAGGATAACTTCCTCTGTCTCTTGAGTATTGCTTGGTTTTCTCCATGCCAAGTCCACCTACATGATTGGATTTTTCAGTACTAGCTACGGTGGCTGGAATTGAGACTGAAATCAGATTGAAGATTTAAAAGCTCATATGTTAGAACAATACACTGGGGCTTTGAATTCCAGCTCTGACCATTGACATCTGTGTGACTAGCAAGTTACTTAAAATCTCTACCCCTTAATTTCTTCAACTGTAAAATAGAGATTTGAAAATACACTTCCTCATAGGCTTGTTGTGAAGATTAAATAAGCTAAATACACATAGAGTACTTAGAACAGTGCCAGACACATAGTAAGCACTTAATAAGTGTTATTTGTTATCATCAGAAACAGCTGGGACTCCTGAGCTGAAGAAGGCAACCTATCCATATTGCCTTCATCAAGCCTCCATCTCAGGTCCCACACTATCTCTCTTAGTTGAGGTCCCTGAAAACAGGGCCTAAGAAAAGAGCTTGTATGCAGGTTGTTTATTTGAAAAGTGATTCCAGGAAGTGGTGTAAGGAAGCAGTAAGGATGAGACAGAAAAAAACTAAACACTAATAAAGTGTGGATAATTGAAGTTGTTACTCTAGACCATGCATTCTCAGTGGGGGCAATATGGACCCCAAGGTTCTTGGAAGGAGAAAGAAACCTTAGAGGTTCTTGGAAGGAGAAAGAAGTCTTAGATGTTGCAATGGTTTGTGGCCCTCCAAAGGGCTGCAGTACATAAATACATCTACAGTAAATATCTGCTATTAAAATTTCTTGAGGGACGGTGATTAGGAAAAAAATATATTCCAAAAAAGCTCCTTAGAGGAAATAATCATAACAATAATAGTAATAAACATGGCACAGACAATGGGGGCTTAACTCCATAGAGCTCAGCTTCTAAGAAGCTCCCAGAAATGTCTGGTGCATTTATTCATCAACTCCCATTGCCCATTGGCTAAAGGTTGCCTCTGGGGCATTAACTTGCCCGTACTTCCAATGCCCTGGGGAGAATGCTGAAAGACAAAACGTCAGTGGTGCCAGGCGAATCACAACTGTCCACCACAGCTGAAGCTGAGGTCAGAGGTGAGCTGAGATTGTGTGTCACAGGCTGTAAAATCTGCTAATATTCAATTCAGAAGTTCAAGCTCCTGCTTGGTCCTGGCTTCTTTCACTTGAACAAGATCCTGGCACTAAAGTCTCATTATGTTACATTTCTGAATGTCACATTTGCTCATGGTACTTTTCCTCTTTGTCATGTGAAAAATTTTTCACAAGGCCCAGGATTATGGTCCATGGACATAAATTTCTCTTTTCTTCCTTCACTTTGTTTGGATTGCTACTTAAGAAGCGTCTTTTGGGGCTGGCCTAGTGGAATAGTGGTTAAGTTTGCACACTCTGCTTCAGTGGCCTGGCGTTCATGGGTTTGGATCCCGAGTGTAAACCTACACCGCTCATCAAGCCATGCTGTGGCAGTGTCCCACATACAAAATAGAGGAAGACTGGCATAGATGTTAGCTCAGGGCCAATCTTCCTCACCAAAAAAAAAAAAAAAGAAGAAGAAGAAGCATCTTTTGAAAAACACTATAGACAAAAACAAGAACCAATAACTATAATTCATCTGTTTGATTCTCAAAACCATATTTGAACCTCCTACTCTATCATGGAGAAATGTGTCATTGACCCCTGTGTTTTGATTTTGAAATACAGAAGCAAAAGTGGTTTTTATTGATTGAACAAGTTCACTTCATTCTCAGACTGCTAATCCAGATAAACACAAAATATTTCTTGAGAAGAAAAAAATGAAATGGAACCAAAGACAACTCCCCTAATATATCTTCATAGTAATTTAGCATATGTAAATATATTTACATCAAGATTATCTGAGAAACCATATCAACTGTGACCCTCAGCCTACCAAGTGGATCAAGCAAGGAAATATGTCTTAAACACTATGTAAATTGATGGAAACAACAGTATGCCTCCTAATGCTAACTAGCACTTAGCAGGAAGCAGCTGAAAGCCACTATCCAGCTAGGTGAACTCCTTAACATTGTACTTGTTTATAAAGCTTGTGAACTCAAACACTCAGAATGCATCTGTTTTCTGACGACAGGTAAACAGGAATAAACATCAATGGGAGAAGGAAACCAAACTTCTGTGGCTGAATTTATCTTGCTGGGACTTTCACAGGATCCAAAGACCCAGGTCTTGCTCTTCTGTCTTTTCCTGATCACTTACCTTCTCTCTATATTTGGAAACCTGCTCATGATTATGCTTATCCAGACTGATTCTCGATTTCACACTCCCATGTACTTTTTTCTCAAAAACTTGTCATTTGCTGACCTCTGTTTCTCTACAAGCATCGTTCCTCAGATGTTGGCCCACTTCCTTGTAAAAAAGAAAACCATTTCCTTTGCTGGATGCTCACTACAGATAGTTGTCTTCCTCCTGGCAGGGTGTACAGAGTGTGCACTGCTGGCGGTGATGTCCTATGACCGCTATGTGGCTGTCTGCAAGCCCCTGCACTACTCCACCATCATGACCCGGAGGGTTTGTGTCCAGTTGGCCGTAATGTCCCGGATCAGCGGGGCGTTTGCATGTTCAGTGGACAGTGCATTTACACTGTGTCTCCCCTACCAGGGACAGAATGTAATTAATCATTATTTTTGTGAACCTCCTGCACTCCTGAAGCTGGCTTCAGCAGACACCTACAATGCTGAGATGGCTCTCTTTTCAATGGGCGTGATTATCCTCTTAGCACCTGTCTCTCTCATCCTTGTCTCCTACTGGCATATTGTCTCCACTGTGATTCAGATGCAGTCAGGAGAGGGGAGGCTCAAGTTGTTCTCTACCTGTGGCTCCCACCTCACTGTTGTGGTTCTCTACTATGGCTCTGGAATATTTGCCTACACGAGACCTAATTCCAAGGCAATGAATGAAAAGGATAAGGTCATCTCTGTGTTCTATTCAGTTATGACTTCCGTGTTGAACCCCATCATATACAGCCTGAGGAACAAGGATGTGAAGGGGGCTCTCAGGAAGCTGGCTGGAAGATAGTCCACCTATGGAGGCACTGATTTCTGACAGTTTTCTTAAGTATTTGGAACACTGTGATTAACAATAGCTCCGCTATCCTCATCCTTTCCTTGCCTTGCTTTATTTGGTTCAGTTGATTTTTGTCTCCACAAATATCCATTAAATACCTACTCTGTGCAAGCACTGTTCCAGAACCTCTCAATAAGAGTATAACGTAGTGCCTTCCTCAAAAGGTTTCATTACCTCTGGGACAACAGAGAGCCATGCTCTGTCCTAAGGGGAGGTTGCACTCTTCTGTTATCTTATGGTCCCTTTCTGCAGTTCTTCCCAGAAGGAAGTTCCCCTGTAGCAGAGTAAACTCACCCTTGAAATGTTTGCCAAAGGGAAAAAACTCGATTAATCTTCCTGAACATATTTCTAGCATTCTTCACCCACTAAATGAACTGGGAAGCCCAAGTTGTCATACAGCCACCTATGGGCTTGCTGAGGTTTTGTTTCCACATTCCTGACTAAATCAACAGTGACTGGCCAGAAAGCCAGCATTCAGTCCAGACATAAGAGTGTCGTATGGCATCTGTGGAATGCTACCCATAGGTGCTATTCCTCCAATTGCCTTATTTCCAGTTAAAAGTGATTGAATCATATAGTGTTTCTGTGATGAATTTAACTGTACTGCATCATGACCCTTCCTAAAGCACCCCTTTCCTCTTTCTCCTTTCTCTTGCCTCCATTTTGTTGTGGGTGTTTTCATGCATAGTGTATGCAGAGGTGAAACGGTATGTGAGTGTGTGAAATTGTCTGTGTGTATGTGTGCCTGTCTGTGGCAAGTAAGTTTAGCTATATAGAATTCTCTGCCAATAGTCCTGAATCTGATTCCTTCTCACTCCTTGACTAAATACTGCTTTATCTTAGGCCAATCTCATCTATCACCCAATTGTTTTCCATATCTTCCTCATCCTTCTAGCTGTCTGCATTTCCACCAATAAGTGTGAGAGTATTTTAAAATTTATCATTCTTTTTCTTTGGAGGAGAGAGAGGGGAGGGGAATTCAACTCAGAAAATAAAAACTAAATGTCTCCTTTTCTGATTATGAAAGAAATAAGGTGAAAAGTAGTAAGAAAACAAAAAAAAATCACATATAATATCCTCTCCAGAAATAAGTTTTGCCAATGTTTCAGTTTTTATCCTTTCAGAATTTTTTTCTCTCTCTCTCTTTCACAAGAAAGCATGCAGTCATGGTGAGGTAATAAAAATTAAAATTGCTCCATGCACATGAGGAGCTAGAATAAGGCTCATTGCTTTCAGTGGGGCTTCTTTTTCCCTACATATTCCACCAAACCCCCAGTGAAAAGAATCTGAATAAAATTGCTGCCAACCTGCTTCCCAGTACTATGGATCTATAAAAAGCTGTCAGCCCAAGAAGGTTGGAGGAAAATAATATAATATTTAGACCAAATATAGGAAATTTTAGGATTGGTGACAAGGACAGGAGCTCCAAAATGCCATTAGAAGATTTGATATTGAAAGTGGCTGGTGTAAAGAACCACCAAGAATATTTTGGGAAAAAAAAGTAATTATCTAATTGGGGTGAGGCAGTAAGAGGGAGAAAGATAGAGAGAGATGGAGGAGAAGGTAAAGGAGGAGGAGGAGGAAGGGGAGCAGGAGGAAGGGGAGAAGGAGGAAGAGAGCAAAAGGAGAGGAAAAGAGCTAAGTCCATGATCAAGGTGTTGGCAGGTTTGGTTTCTCCTGAGTCCTCTCCTTGGCTTGTAGATGACCGTCTTCTCACTGAGTCCTCACATGGTCAGTCCTCACACTGAGTCCTTCTGTGCACATGCACCACTGGTGTCTCTTTGTGTGTCCTAATTTCCTTTTTATATGAAGACACCAGTCTGATTGAATTAGGGTCCACCGTAATAGCCTCATTTTAACTTAATCAGCTCTTCAATGGCCCTATCTCCAAATACAATCATTTTCTGAGGTTTTGGGGGTTAGAGCTTCAACATATGAATTTTGGGAGGGCACAATTCAGCCCATAACTCAGGAGACCCTCTACTGAGAGTAAATTGACATGTGCAAAGCCGTTATCAGCTGGTCACATAATTAATTGTGTATCTCTCTGTTGGGGGGGGGGTCACCTCAACCTTCCAGGTGGTTCTATTAGGCTGAGTCCCTTTTACAAAGAGCCCTGGCTAATTCTCTTCCACAGGATCCACATATGGCCAAGTGGAGTCATGTTTGTACCCTATCTTGCTAAATTCTGGGAATGTGGAATGCTGTGTCTCTTCTCTTCAACCAGGGACACCATGCCTTTCCATAGTTGACCTTTCGATTTTTTATGTGTGAGGAAAGTACCTGTTCTAGCATTCTTCAAATTCCAGATAAGACACATGAAGTTCTCTAGCAGGGCTTTTGAAGCTCCTGTCACTTAACTTAATATGAGGAGAAGCACCTTATTTTCTCAGGGAGGGAGGAGTAAAACACTATTCTGAAAAATATCTTCAAAGTATTCCTCTCCACCAGCTTCCAACTATCTCTTTTTTATACCTTAGAAGGGTTGACAGTTTAATGTTTACAAATCGTCTACTGATCACCTCCATGTAAGTCCCTCCTAATGTGGTAGCTCCTCAGTTTAGAATTCAGAGGTAATGAAAAATATTGTTTTATTTTGGGATTTAGATAATATTTGGAATATATAATATTTCTATTACATTAGCATAGATGCAATAATCTAAATGAAATTCTAAGAAATTGAATCAAGGAGTATAATTAAAATATAATGTGCCATAATATTTTTAGTTATCATTTCCTTTATCCCTTCATCTTTTTGTACATTCTAATAAATTTGAGACTACACCTCTGAGCAGTCATTATTATAAACCTTATTGTCTTACAATATAGCAAATGAGGGCAAAGCCCTGCACATCCTTTTGCCCCTTATCATCTCAGGGCATGTTGACTTCCAACAGCCAGTATCTGCATCTTTTTGAGGACTTTCTTTGGCTGACATGCTGGTTCTGTCCCCATACCCAGAAGGCTTGAATGGCCCAGGGAATTAATGTCCTTTGCAGCAACCAGGACTTTGATGATTGATGAGAGTTGGCATGTAAATACCGCACATCCCTCACACCTTAGGTGTGAGATGCCTCTGAGATACATGTTCTACTCTGTTTCTCAGAACTCCCCAAGTCTGTTAAGATCCAATTGCCCATGGTAACTTGTGTGATGACACACCCTTTATTGACTCTTTTGCTTTGCTGTCCCACTTCCCTATCCAGCTAATTTTTTCTGAGTTTCCTTCCCAAATAAACTTTTTGCACTCAAATCCTTGTTCAGGGTCAACTTGTGAGGGACCCTAAACTAAGAGACATTCACTGTTTGTAATTTTTTTCCCTTTGCTATGAATTATCTCACAATACAGGCTAATTCTGCCTAATCCTTTAATATTCATTGAAAACTGTGTTCCCTGCATGTGTGAGTGAAGGAGGTAGAGAAGAGAAAATATGGGGAAGGCTCTGACGTGGCCTAGCTCCTGCATCATTAGTTGATATTTCTCCATTTTCTGATCTGCAGAGTCCCTTTATACTAGAATTAGACATAAATAAAACATAGCCTAAATTCTTTGGGTATCTCAAACTTTAAATGCTCCCAAGATTGAAGTAAAAATTATATTTTTAAATATAACTTTTATTATTATTATTATTATTATTATTATTATAGAATTGGTAGAGATTTATTCTAAACCTTGTCCTATAACACTTTCTTTTCCCTGGTTTACTGACCTGAAGTCAGCTTTTAAAAATATTTGTATCTTCATGGATATTTTAGTTGGAATTTGAGAGGACCGGTGAAAGACACTTTCATTCATTTACTAATTCAGCAAACATTTATTGAGTACCAAACCTCTGCCAGTTACATGCTAGAAGCTAGAGATGTGATTGGAAACAAAACAGGTCCAGTTCCTGCCCTTCTGGAGCTTATGTGCTAGTGTAATGTGCTACCAGATAACCCTGACATCAGAAGGAAGAAAGTATTGGGGTTAGCATAAAAAAAACAAAGCGTTAGTCTCTTTTGCACCAAGAGAAGGAGGAATACGGGAATTTAGTGAGTTTAAAACAAACCCGGTAGCATAAAACAGTACACACTACCGGATTTTGCAAAGAGGACATTAGTGATCTTGGGACAAAGATTGTCAGTTCAGCTCATATAGGGCACTTGACAGGAGGTGATACAAACAGGCTGAGGAGTGCAGGGCAGAAGTGAAGTGTGCCACAAAGTGTGCTGTAAAGTGAAGTTGGAGCCATAGAAAACACCTACACTTGACACCTCAGGATCTCTTTTTTTTTCAGGCTACCCAGAATGGAGATGACTCTTGTTGTCAGCCTGGGAAACACATATTGAAGAAACTGGCTTCACCAAATGGAAAAGCTTGGGTCCTCGAAGCACCTCTTAGAGGAAAGCAGTTAAGGACAGCTCCCTAACCAAGAAATCTGCATTGAACGGTTACATGAGTGAGAAATACAATTTTATTGGGTTATGCTGTTGTCATTTCTGGGTTGTCTGATATAGCAGGTAGCAAGTGTTACCTTCACAAACAATGAATGAGCAACTCAAAGTAGAAGTAGACTCAGTTATTCCAAATGCTTTTTCAAGAAATTTGTTGTAAAAATATGGGGGGATTTAGAGAAATAGTCTGCAAGAAAAGGAAAACCAAAGGACTATTTTTTTTTTGTATGTTTGTTTTGTGCTTTTTTTTTGCTGAGGAAGATTCACCCTGAGCTAACATCCGGTGCCAATTTTCCTCTTTTTGTATGTGAGGCGCTACCATAGCATGGCCACTGACAGATGAGTGGTATAGGTCAGCGCCCAGGAACCGAACCCAGGCCACCAAAGTGGAGCATGCCAAATTTAACTGCTAGGCCATCAGGGCTGGCCCAAGGGACTGTTTTTTGAACAGAGAAGTCTTGATCATCCTTGGAAGCTAAATCAGAGGATTGAGAGAGAGCTTAAGATACAAGAAGAACATGAAAATGAAGTATCAAAGAGATACAGCAGGCAATGAAGATGAGAAAGATAGAATCTCAGTAATAATTGGAGAAGTCAATGCTCAAGTGAAGGTGCATTCATTCCTTTGAAATAAAAGACCAAGCAGTAAAGATAATTCCTACAGAAGATAATGAAGAGGTGAAAGAAAGTTTGCATCTAAGGGATTTAATCACCTGTGATCTTTATTTTATCTGTGAAGTAGAAAGCAAGATTGAAAGTCAGGATTTAATTCATCATTACCATAAGCTCACCATCCAAAATGAAAGCTATGACTTTGACAATATCTTTCATCTAACTATTAGGTCTCTGCCCTTTCACATTTTAGTAACTGTTGTCCCAAATCCTATGTCCATCATTCTCTTTTTCACTCTTTTATGTATTTTTACTGAATCTACATGTAGTCATAAAATGTTTACTTTTATTTGAGTTTTTAACTCTGTAAAAGGAATATCATGATATATTATCCTTAGGACTCCCTTTTTTCACAGAATATTAGATTATTGAGTTATTCCTTTTGTTGTATGTCCTTCTGGTTCCTTTGTTTTGATTGCTTCGTAATATTCTCATGAGTGAATATTTATCCATTCCATTGTTGATGGACATAAGGGTTGTTTCCAATTTTTGTTCTATTTTTAATAGTGCTGTTCTTACATTTTACATGTGTAAAACCTTAGGAGTATGTTCCTTTTACAATGAGAAAAATAAAAAGATCCTGTATTATATTTCTCTTGTTGTACTTGTGCAGTAATTTTCTTGAGTATATTCTTTTTACAATCAGAAAATGAAAAATTATTTTTAGTTTTCTTAAGTTGAAAGAAAAAAGATATAACTCTAGTAGCAGCTCCAGAATTTCCTGGCAAAATCAGTGATTACAGAGAGACTGAGGAATGAGAGAGACCTGGCAGAAAACTGAGGGAGAGAATTGCCTGAACTAAAGCAGTGATGGGTGGAGGCGGGTGTTGTGTCATCATCCCAGCGCTCTAAGCAGCTGAGCCCACTGGACACAGAGAGCAGGGATATATATACATTCCTGCACATATGTGTGCACATGCATTAGAGGGAGGAGAAAGGAGAGACAAATAATTTAAAAGCATAGAAAGGTCCAATAAATCAGTACGTTGATGGTAATTAATGGCGAAGGAAAGAATACCTGACATGAACAGAAGCACTGCTGATTTCAGTTCCCTCTGGCTGGTAATAGCTCAGGCTCGAGGCACAAAGAGGGAGATGAGGAGTGGCAGCATTTACAGCTCTCTTGAGACATACTTTATAATTTGGGCAGAGGACTAGCCTGGGGGGCCCTTGTTCTTGGGTTGGTTACTGACACTGCCTCTATAGACAGGGTTTTGGAAACAGCCTCAGTAAGTTCATATGCGGCAAAATAAGCCCTCAGGCCTCAGAGCTCATTTAGTGGGTGAAGTTTGCAGGAATGGGAGGCCAGGGACATGCCTGGGGATTCATTAAAATCTTGTTTCCTGGAGCAGTATTTTCATGTCAGCTGAGGAGATGAGACCATGGTGCCTCCCCCAGGACAGGGCCACAGCTCACTGTTACCCCAGGGGCAGTGAGGCTGGGCCCCGTAGCATCTCCTTGGGGAAGCTCCTCTTATAACTTTTTACCCAGATTCCTGCTGTGCTCGTCTTTTCTCATGGACCCCAGCAGAAGAGAACCACATGAAAATCGGGGTACCTGGACTCAAGGACTCGGCCAGAACCATGCCAAGGCTGTGAAGGCTTTCTCACGAGGAGAATGGACAAGAAGTTGGGAGAGATTTAGCTTCCTGCCTAGGTCTGCATCCATTTCTGCCACCAGAGAGGATCTGCAATGCCAGTGCCTGGAGAAGTCTTTGACCTCTGATCTCAGACACAGCCAGACACACCCGTACATCTCACCCTGCCGGAAGAACCACCTCTTCTTACTTCATCTTCTTGAACATCTTCATCCCTCAAACGAATCACAGGGCAGTAGGTGTGGTCTGGCAGCTGTGCCCCTCCTCATCTGAGGTTAGGGCTCTGTCTCTGTCTCCAGAAATTATGTGGAGTCTGGAAGTCTTGAGAAACAGGGTTAAGACCTCACTGATTTGCTTCTCATATTGTCTAGTCCCTCAGGCTTTATACTCATCTACTCCCTTCTACACTCTGGGCACCCTGCATGTGTGGGTACACCCACAATCAGTCTGTTCCACTGACCAGACTTGGGTTCCTGTACTTTCTAATGCTGGCATCCAATTAAAAGTCTCGGTACTTACTTTTGGACCTGGATTATCCTGGCCTCTACTAGACTGATGTGTGCCCTAAAAGAGTGATCATCTAGAATCAGTTGAAGTGCCTCTTCCTTATATGCCTGCTTGACACTACAGTCCAAAACCACAGAAAAAGCCAGTTGAAGTCGATACATTTTTAAAATGTACTGAGCAATGATACAGAGAAATAATTTATAAAAATATGCTTCCAAATTTTTAGCTCCTTCTTGTTAATTGGTTCTGTCTGACCATTTTCTATGAGGTACAACAATGCCCGTCTGTTAATCTCAGTCTCCACTGACTTCTCTTTGTCTGAGATCATCACCAACATTAGTTTTCCAGAAAGGCAGCTCTTTCCTCTGTAGGCTCGGTGTGTGTTCTCTGGCCTTTATCTTCAGATGGCCTAGAGGAGACGAGTCAGAGAATGGAAAAGGAGGGAAAGCAGGGGTCTGAATCAAGGAGAGGAAGGCAGATAGGCAGGATCCTTAGTCCTAATGATTACCCCCTTGCTTAAGCCCTGTTTTTTTCAGCTCTCTGAAATCCTGTCCAAACTCCTGGTGCAGAAATCTGGAAAAATGTGCCCGACTAATTATTTTCTTCCCTTTATTACTCTGTCCATTCATCATTTTAAATCAATGAAATGAAAAATATTTTAAGTCAAATATTCACTAGGAACAATGCTACGTATTGTCTTCGTATTTGTCTTGTTGTTGTGAGTAGGCAAAGGTCTTCCTGCCAAGATTTCTTAGTTTAAACCCATAGTTTTGGTTTTGTAAATCAAGGGAAGGATCTCAGACCCCAAGGAATGATGAGACACAGTTTTACAGGGGATGTTTTCCTGGCTGGCTTCTTGCTCAGACTTCATTGCCGCACAAGTGCAGGGAGGATCTTCTTGAACAGTGGTTCAGTGTCCCAACCTTTGTAATGTTATTTCCTCTCTCTATTGTTATACCTGACCCTTTTGTTCTTGGCCACCTCCTATTCATCCTCAGCCTATAGCTTATATGTCACTTCTCCAGGGAATTCTTTCCCGAAAGCTTACTTGCATGGACTCATAGTATGTTATATTTTCCTTCATATATCAACCATTGCCAATGGATTTATGTAGGTGTTTGTGTAATAGGTTTTTCATCTATATGCCATTTCCCTAGCATGAAGTGTAGCACCTGATACATTGAGGATCTTCAGTAAGTGTTTATTGAATGAATGAAAGGAGCTGGATCAGATGGGCCTTCCAATTTCAGGACTTTATGATCCTACCACTTCAAGGTCCCAACTCTAAGTTGACCAGGATGATGACATAAATAGAAGATAAGAGGAGTAGGAGCAGATGATACAAGGGAAAGATGAAGAATTTGGTCATGAATTCTCTTCTCTTCCAGAGAGCCTCCTAAGGCCTCCATTCTACTGCGAATGGGCTGCTTTCACAAAGAACAAGCTAAGTGAACACTGTCTCACACACCCGAAACACTCCACTTTCTCTCCTCCACAACCCTTTCCACCAGTACTATCATATAGATTCAGGGTACGGCAGGATGAGCACTCCTCCAGATGCTGCTAGATTTATGAGATAGAGGAATCTCCTTTTCCTGTTCAGGGTCTTGCTTTGACTCTTGGGTGGCAGGATGGCTTTGGGACTTTTCTATAAATTCTCCTCTTTTATAGCTCTCCCGATCTATCATATGCTCTAAACACAAATACCCTGAGATCTTTGCAAATCTCATTTATTATCTTTTACCTGATTCCTCCCTAGAAAAGATTTTACCATTACATGCAAATAAGCAAACACTTTTTGTACTGTTCCTGCAGGTCAGCCCCCAAAATCTATACCACCTTGACCATTCAGTTCATCCCGGAAGTCTTTTTCCCTCCAGCAGAGTAGTGGTGTGCTCATCAAAGATGTGACGATAGTTCAAGAACACAAGAGATCAAATGGTCCAAGAGCAGAGAGGTTTCCTGTTGAGGAAGCTGTCAACAGCAATGAGACTGGGAAGTAAATGCAGGTGCCACATCTCTGGGGAAGACATCATAGAGCTTTATTATAAATTAAACTTCAAAAACGGAATTGGAATCCCAAGTATATTTTAAGCAGAAAACCAGCTAGAATTTAAACCAATGGCCAATGTGTTTCTTTACGATGAAGACAGATATATTTTTATTTATTTACAAAGAAGTTTGCTTGGGCACGTTCTCTTGGATATCTTATTTGAAGGGATTTCTAAATGATTAGCTCTTAGCAACGTGCTTTCACATAATTCAATAAAAAGATTCAGAAATTCAGAAGTAAGACGGCAAACATAGCTACCAAGAGGAAAAGATACCATCTCACGGAATTCCCATTGGCCACCCCATAGTGACATAAGACAATACAAAACTAGGGAGAACTTTCTTAGACAGGCTTTCACTGAGAATCCATTTGATTCTAGGCAACCAAAGAAATGACACAGAATGGAGCACTGGAATTCTACTCTAGAAAGTGGCTTCATATTGATGGGGATTCTGAATGACAGTGGGTCTCCTGAGCTGCTCTGTGCCATAATTGCAGTCCTGTACATGTTGGCCCTGACCAGCAATGGTCTGCTGTTCCTCGTCATCACAATGGATGCCCAGCTCCATGTGCCCATGTACCTCTTGCTTGGGCAGCTCTCACTCATGGACCTCCTCTTCACATCTGTTGTCACTCCCAAGGCCATCGTGGATTTTCTGTGCAGTGAAAACACCATCTCCTTTGGGGGCTGTGCCCTTCAGATGTTCCTGGCACTGATGGTTGGTAGTGCAGAGGACCTCCTACTGGCCTTCATGGCCTATGACAGGTATGTGGCCATTTGCTATCCTCTGAACTACATGGTCCTCATGAGGCCCAGGGTC